TAGCGGCCCCGGAGCCGCGCACGCGCCTCACGCGCTCCACAGCGCCCTCGTGCGAGCAAAGGCGGAGGCGCAGCTCCGGCCACCCTTGGAGGTCCTTCCCATGCAGAACTCCACGGTGCTGAGCGGAGGCCCAGCTCCCGCAAAGGGCGTTGTATGTGGGGCAGAAGGATGCGGGGACTCAGCTCAGGCCAGGAAGAGTCTGGCGCCTTTGCACGCGCTAGCTCAGTCGTCCGTGCTCGCGCAGCACCTACCCACGGGCAGGTTTCCTGGAGGTGCGACGCCAGTGCAAGTGCAGGCCAAGGCGTGGGTGACCCCGGACTCCACAAGGAATCCCTGGAGAGGTGGCGAAAAGATCTGAGCTGGGGCCCAGCTCGGCTCCCTGGGCTCTACACTATACCGCTGGGCCCCGTTCCTCCCGGCAGAGCGGACGCTGTGCGCGCAGTTACGGCCGGATGGGCTGAGAGCAAGCGTCCAGGAGGCGCTGGTTCCGTTTCTACGCAGGGAGCCTGCAGAGGGGCGGCCCAAAGCTCTGAACTTCGCAGCCTGTCCCAGCTCCGCGGGGCCGGCCACCTCGGCGACACCGTACCACGGAGTCACAAGGGACTCTACAGCCCTCGGACCGCAGGGCCCTGCACCTTATCTCCCGCCAAATTCTAAGCAGCTCCGCCTGCTTTACAAGGGTCCACCCCACTTTGCAAGCTTTTCTTTTGGCTCTGGGGCTTCCGGGCTGACACGGGATCACGACCCAGCTGCGAGAGAACCTGCGTTCTGAAGGGCCGGTGAGACTGTCATGAACTCTTTCTCGCCGCCAGTCTGCGACCCTTAGTGGTGCGGCCGGTCCCGAGGGAGGGAGCGCCTGTCCAAGCTTCGGGCAGAGTGACTCAGTGAAGTGAGAGCAAACAAGGGCCACAGGCGTTAGAAAGCTTAACATTATGCGTTTATTATATTTTATAGAGCCATGTTACACATGCTTGGTGCTTCAGACTGAGTTATCAATGTTTTTCTGGATGCAAAGCCACCTGATGCTTGATGCGGATGCCTTAAATACTACATTTCTGCATCTATGACCTATGAGCTAAGGAAAAACCAAGGACAGTTCCAGAAATGGCAAAGAACACTTAAGAAAAAGATGAACACAAGACAATGCTACATCCTTGAACCAAGGCCTACAAGTTACCAGAAACTGAATACCTGTGAACAGCTCGGCCTACCAGGTGCTTCCTTGGGACTGATGCCCCCAGGCGGGAGAGCAGGCAGCCCTGCAGAGCTCCACCCCAGGCTTGGGACCTTCTCCTAGGCACGTGTCTTACCCAGGACCCTGGCCGGGTATGCAGGGGCTGGGGGGCCACATTGGTCCACACTCGCCACACAGGGAAGCTCCCACTTCTTTGGACCAGTTTGTGGGAGGTTTGATGTGCAACTGACAGATGTTCCCTTCCGGGATCTGGAAGGGGCTGGGTTGGCGGTCCACCTGCCCCCTGCCTGGCCCAGCAGGTTTCCATATCATCCCACTAAGACCTGCCAAGCACTCAGGCCCGGGAATGGTGCCAAGCTGCCTTTTGCATTGGCCCTTCTCTGCTACCTGGTGCTGCTCATCCGAACACAGCCTGGGCAGACACGAGCTTGCAGTCCGCAACAGGGTGCACAAGACTTGGCCACACAGTGCTGCTGTGAAGCAAAGGATTCTGAAGGCACAGAGTGCCCCCGGCAAGGCAAAGCAGGCAGCACAGCGTGGCCAAGGCAGAGAGAAAGCAAGCACACCTTGAGCCCTGCCCCACCACCTCCCGGGCCTCCACTCTGAGAAGAGATGCTGCAGCCTGGTGCCAAGGGAGCTGGACAGAGGCTGCAGTCAGACGGGGCCCAAGGCAACAAGCCTGCTGCATCAAGACCACAGGGCAGCTAGGAGGAAACCCCGGCATGGGCTGGCATTGAGGCCGCATGGAACCACGGCAGCTCCACAGTGTTTTGACCTCTGAGATCTTCCTGCTTTTTTGTACTGGTCCGATGCCAAAGACATGACGGAATGAGACTGACAGAACTTCCTAGGCCACGCCGATCCCACATCACAGCAGGGTCAGAGACAGGATGTGTATTATGGAGGTGGGCGGGTTAGCACGTTTCCAACTCAGAGTCTTACTTCAGGGACCAGGCTTTCCTTGTGCCAAGTCCCAGCTCCAGCTCGGTGGAAGGAACCACGGGTGAGCTCTGCTTAGAGGGGCGGGAGCAGCACCCAGAAGCCCAGAACAGGACTCCAGTGACTACTCAGGCCGACCACAAGCCTCACCTCACTGTGAAGAGGACTGGAGCCAGCCAGGGACACGCACAGGGCCTCACTTCCACAGATGTGGCCACCAAGCCTCTGCGTGAGCACCAACTAGGAAGAGGAAACCTTCCTCCCCTCGGCTCTGCAGGCCTGGAGTCCAGACAAAGCAACACTGTGACACCAACAGCACGAGCTGTGTCACCTTGTAAAATAAATGTCACTCTGGGATGAGTTCTTTATACAAACATGCCCCCTGCAGCCCCATTACCAAGAGGGGGAACTAAGAAATTCAAAAATAGAAAACAACATCTTGTTAGGCGTAAACTTATCCTCTGAAGTTTTTATATTACATATGCTAGAATCATGCATTTATTTCTGCTCAGATGTAAGAAAATATGTCTATCAGTATTACTTACAAACCAGATCAGTTCTCAAGACAATGGAACCACTGTTAGAACACACTTCAAATTTTAGTAAAGATATCTTTAACAAAATTATAAATTCTAACAAGCAAAGTGGGTTTGGGTGAAACCCAGTGAGCACAACCTCTACTCTTACACGGCTGCTCACTTACTAGTTTCCTACACAACTGCTGTCAGCTCAGAGTGCCACGTCAACAAGGAACTTGCTAAGTCTTCTTTGAGCCCCAAGTTAATAAACTCTTCGAAGACGTGAACTCCGCAGACCAAGAGAAGATGGGGCCAGAGAAGGGGGAAGGATGACAATACTCCACAGACAGAAAGGGGCCAAAGAGATGACCAAGTGCGTCCCCCACGGGGATGAAGGCACAGGAGGGACCCAGTTCCACACAGGAGCTTGGCCCCTGCAGGGTCAGAGGTCACAGCATGTCTCAGGGCTGCTGCCAGGGCCAGGCTCTGGCACGTTAAGTGATGGGTGTGGGCGACGTGGCCCCGTGCCCCGAATCAGTCACCCCACCTGGAGCAGCGTCAGTGCAGCCACCTGGACTGCGCCACCTGTTGGTGGGGAGGGGAGGTGTGGGTGGGGACAGGAGGGCACAAATGGAGCCTTGCCTGGCTGGCTGAGTGGCGTGTGTGCACCGGGCACCGGCTGTGAGGGTCGGCCCTCCACCATGGGCTTCCCTCGTTCCTGACTGCCAGAGGTCTATGCCATCGCCTCAGTTCCAAACTACCCAATGGATAACAGATTCTGGACAAATGAAAACAAGTATCTGAAGCTGAAGTTTTCTTTTATGATTCAGAAGGCACTTCCAAATTCCACAGAGCCACAGGGCCAGTAATCCTGGTGACATGGGAAGAAGCCAGGCTACAGTGCTGGACCAGCCGGTGTCCTGGGCCTTTTGTAAAGAAACCTGCTATTTAGCTAGGTTGTCATCTACCTCACAGAGTCAAGCATTCACTGCAGAATACACAAAATGTGTTTGCATTTTGAATAAAAGGGATTTTGCTGTACCATGGCAGTTTATAAAATATTCTCAACAAGTCTGATATTTGACTCTAAGTTCAGAAATTATAATCGTACAAAGAGGCCACAAAACGAGGTCAAGTACTCACTGAGTACAATTCCTAGAAATCTAATCACCTCGCCAATCTGCACTGTTTTGAAGCATGAAATTGTGCTATTGGCGCTCAGTTGCCACATTTGCTAGTGTTTAACAGGACTCAACTACGATGTAGAAACAAGGGCTCTCAAACCAGATAACCAGCAACTGCTGTCTCCTGTCAGACAAGGACAGGCCCCCGGAGCTGCCTTCTCAGGCAGCCTGAGCAGCAGAAGGCAGGCCCACAGCCAGCTGACGGGCACCTTACCTTGGGAGGGCTCAGGCCACACAAAAACACCGTGCTGCCACCAGCTGGGGATGCTGAAGTCCCAACTGTGCCCGCAGCCCGGCTTGGGTACTGAGGTAGTGGGTGCCTGCTGCCTACCCTGGCAGAAGCCAGTGAGTGTAGGGAGAATTCAAGTGTCCATTCACCAGTTTAACCACAAGCCACTGTAATTGAGTGCAAAATGAAGGAGACTTGAGTTGCTTTATTTAGCTTCCAATTTCTGGGAGGCTCAAGAATTTAAGTATTCTGGACAACAAATGAAAATAAGACTGTGCTTACAGATCTTTTTCTGCCATACTCTTTCTTTAGGATTGCTATTTTATTGTTGCCCTTTCTGTCACATGGGATGTACACATCAGGTGTTAAAAGGTACAATACATTCTACAACTGAGCACCACTTTCTGTAACTGAACAGGCAAAGAAATTACACTGAACATCAGCATCTGGCAGTATTTTTTGGGAAAAAAAAGTGACTAAAATGGGTTTAAATTGATTAACACTATTAAATCACATCTAATATTTGATACTACATGATTCAATACAGCTATACGATACAATTATACAAAATGTGTTAACATCAAAGAATACAACCAAAATCAAGATAGCAAACAAAACCTATATAACTTTTTTTTTTTTGTACAGGAAAATACTTTTGAAGTATGCATGTAACTGCCCATTCTTTTAAAGAAAATCTACTGCAAGCAAAGTTATCAACCTCCAGAAAAATCACACATTGCATTACTAAGCATATCCCCAAAAAGTGTACAATATGCACACTTGGAAAATACAAAATTAAAAAAATTGTAAGCAACAGGTGAGCTTCATATTTATAAGAATGTGAAAAGAAGTCCCATTTTTAGCACTGTTGTATAAAGAATTGTCTTTTGATGCGAAGTTCATGAATTGTCCTCCTGCTGGGACCACACTTTACAAAAACACGGTGTTTTTGAAACGAGATTACAGAGCAAGATAGAGCATCTTAGCAATGTCATCTTATTAAAGTTTCTTTTTAAATTTTTACTACTTTATCAAAACAAGTCCCTTAGGTGTGTAGGATTCATTTTTAAAATTCTTCCTAGAAATAATATACAAAGGAGAGGCATATTTATTCCCAATCCCACTCCTGGAAGATGCTTCCCGTGGCTGAGAAGGGTCTTCTCTCTTCTTTTCACTGGTTGTTTTTGGCCTTTGCGTGTGTTAAGATGTGAGATTTCAGGTTAGTTGACTGAGCAAACTTCTTATTACAGCCATCGAAGGGGCACACATAGGGCCTGTCTCCAGTATGGATTCGCACATGTGTGCGCAAATTGAAGTCCAGTGAAAAGCGTTTCCCGCAGCCTTCGAATGTGCACTGTCGAGGAAAGACCAGACGTCAGCCCACTCAGCAACCTACAGTGCCCCGGCCAGCGGCTCTGGTGACACATATAGCCTGCTCGCATCAGTAAACCTGACTCCTGTCTGCACTCCCTCTAGAATTCCTGAGCAGAGCTCTAATTGTATGTGCCAGGCAAGCCCTAAAGCCCCAGGCACCCCTCACGAATCCGACAAACACCCCAACAGAAAGCCTGCAGAACAGGAGAAGCATCCTGGCAGTTAAGGCCGTGTACTCTGTAAATAGTCCCAACAGTCCAATACAAATCATGAGCAAGTTTTCTGGTGTCAACTGTCTAAAGGATATTAGATTTACTAGTTGCTCTGCTAGTTGGTTCACTATTTATAGGAATCAAAAAACAAGACAAAATATTACCTCTCACACTCTCCACCCCACCCTGTACCGGGGATCCCACTCAGGACCCTTGTGCTTGCCAGGCAGGCCAGGCACTACTGAGCTACATCCCAGCCTACCTCTATTTTTCTCATACAATAAACTTGTAGAGCTCTTGGTGAATTAGTAATTCAGTGTGCTATTTACTACGAAAAAAATCAAATCAATGCCCCCCCACCCATGAATGCACCCGAAATTGCGGTGCAGGCCTCTCCTGAAATCCCTCTTCCCTGCTGCCATAGCATGTGTCAACACTCACATCTGTACCCCACTGCCTGGACTGTGTGCGGGGAGCAAGTGGCCCGGCCAGCCCTGCTGCCGTCGTGGGCACACTGGCCACTGGCTCCTGGTGCGGGACAGGGTAGGACAGGGCGAAGACCCTACCTGAAAGGGCTTCTCTCCAGTATGAACCAGCTGGTGTCGCTTTAGCTTTGAACTCTCAACGAAAGCTTTGCCACATTCTGCACAGACGTGGACTCTGGGGCCGTGGGTGTGCAGATGTTTTCTCATAGCAGAGTTATCCCTGAACATCTTTGTGCAGCCCTTGAAACAGAGAAAGCAGCTTAGTGGTCCACTGCAAATGGAGAAGGACTCAACCACTTAACAGCCCTCACTGACATACTGGTGCCAACCTACCCCACCTCCCCAGCCCCAGATTTACCCTGACCTAGCATTACAGAACATGAGACTACTTAGGACAAGAACAGACAGCTGAGAAAGGCCTTATTTAATGCAAACCCATGTTTTACAGATGAGGAAACTGAGGCTTAGAGAAGTCCTGAGGTAGACTTGCCCAAGGTCACACTACCAGCAGTAGCCAAGCTGGGAGAAGAACCCAGCACCCCGGCTTCCAGCTACACCACAGCCGCCTCGCCCAGCTACGTCCCCCAGATGAAGTAACAGAAGCACTGAGAAATAAACGGAGTTAAAATGACGGTAGTCCACCACTACCTTTGGTGGGCCCCATATTCTGTGCTGCAACAATGGGCTGTCATTCTCCATCGCCTACTGTTCCCTCTTCTCTCTTTGCCTCTTTCCCCCTCTTGACAGAGAAAGAAGCAAGAGGGTCTCCAAGGAATGGCAACTACAGAAGAAATTTATTTTGTGAGACACCAGGAAAAGGAAGAGGCAGGCAAAGCGATACCAAGGCGGGGGAGGCAGATGGATGTGGCGCCCGAGAAGCATGTCCTCAACAATTTCTTCTGCAGTTGTTGCCCAGGATGGAGTGAATGGGAAATGGTGAGACAGCGTGACAGAGGGACAGCACAGGGCACCACCAGACAGCTTCACAGGCAAGGGAGGGGAAGCCAGCTTTTCACCTTGACCTCTAGGTTCGTTTCCATTGACAAGATGGAATTTTAAAAAATTTACTTGGAAAAGGAGTATACAGAGAAGCTAAAGAGATGACAGGCACTTAAGGCATAACTGTTTTCAAATGCTTATTTATCTATGGCCCCAATAGAGATCATTTTCACTTCAAAATCTCCACATAAAAGGAAGCCCCAAACCTGAAAACGCCTAGCTTTATAGGGGCAATTCTGTGTAACTCGATTTATCCTTCTCCAGATGCTGGTTTTTAGAAATTCTTTATTTCATTCTTAATTCGTGTACCTTTGTTTCTTTCTCCACACCTATTTGACAATTTTTCTGTTTTAGATCCAATTATGTTTGAAAACAGACCCCAATCAATATCTTAAAGTGCTTCCCAGGGTTTCCTTTTATTTTAAAATTCAACTACATTTGAAAACAATTAAGTGCCCTTCTTGTAACACATAATTAACAGAGTAAGAAAACTGTGAAGTCTTTACTTGGCTTATGTTAGCCAAAATTTCTACACATTCTCATAAAGGTCCATAGGTGAACCACACCCAGTGTCTAATTAAGACTTGTTATTGACCAGAAAATAAAGTCAGTCCTAACACAGGTTAAAATATAATAAGAGAAACACTAGCTCCCTACAGTAATCTCACTTTATAGAGTATTTTATGGCATCTTTTACTGAACAATGAAACAAGTCTCTTGAATTAGAAACCAAAGATTATACTTCCTCACTTCATCTCAATTGTGGAAATAAAAGCGCAAATTTCTCATAACTCTCTACAACTTTTTTAGCAGCTTAATGAGCACTCCCCTAGCATTACTTACTTTATGAGGGCAAGCTATTGTTCTTGGAGCATCATCTTCTTTAATTTTTCTTGGCTTCATTCTTATCAAAACAAAAGAGAGGAGAGAGAGAGATTTGTAGGAGTGGGTACACTCAGCTGGCGTAAGTCATGCAGCCCCTACAGCTCTCTCCTTCCGCTGCGCTGCGCTGCGGAAGGAGAGGGCCGAGGACTGTGTGAGGTGCTCTTCCGGCTTCACAGATGAGGACGCCATGGCACAGAGCCAATAAGCTGGTGCAGCGCAGGCTGGCACAATGGTCTGTGGGATCCAAATACCTGTTCTTTCCTCTAACCCCTCTTAAAAAAATATAAAGGTCAACTGTCCAGACAACCACTGCCCAGGCTCCTAGTGGGAGGCAGCGCAAAAGCAGCTATTGCAAAATGACAAAGGTGCCCTACAAGAGGGAGCAATGGTCATGGAGTGTCTCCGAAACACACACCTCTATACAACTGTGCACACGCCACACACACACTTCATACTGATATGAAGATCTTTAAAATACATCATTTTTAAAAAGTGCTTAGTACAGTCCTTTCTAGACTATTCTTTATATACAGAAAGTACCACATAGTTCTAAAAAATGTCAGGCAGGCCTGTGATCCCCGTTACTCAAGAGGCTGAGGAAGGAGGATCAAAGTTGTGGGCCAGCCCAGGCAACTTAGCCAACTCTATTAAAAAAAAAAAAAAAAAAAAAAAAAGGCTCTCAAAGGGTACAGCAAACCGTCAGCATGGTTACCGCTGAGGGCTAGCACATGGGTGGCACACTGCATACTTGGACATCTCCCTTCTACCTACTGCTCCTGCTGGTAGGACAGGGAGAGTAGTTATACATCCGGCCCTGCTTCTGGCTGGCACTTGGTAGTTCACCTAGGTGACAAGTGCCCAGCCTTGGAAAGCCCCGCGTGGACACATGGTCCAGGCAGCTCGCAGATCGGCTACCTCTCCCACTGCCATGCCCACTGAACCAGCCTTCACTCTTCATTAACACTTCCTCTCCAAATACTCCCTTCAGCATGTTTAGTGGGGGGAGGGGTCTAAACAATAACAAGTTCCCAGAAAAACTAAGAACATTTAAATCTTTGCAATGGACTTATTTTTTGTTCCTAGCTCTGCCACCCCATACCCACACGTGAGGGTTCATATTTAATAAATTAAGCCAGTGGCCCCTTAATAGCAATAGCTAATTTACCATCATTCAAAAATTATTTGTCACCTTTCAGTTAACAAAGGCCCTGACAGTATTGTTCTTTTACCCTGGGGATCATTATACTATAAAACCTTGAGTTTGTTCAATACTGTATAGAAACCGGGCCTGGTGACACATGCCTGCAATCCCAGCACTCTTTTAGCCAAAGCTAAAAGATCATGAGGTTCAAGTCCAACCTGGGCACCTTAGTGTGTCAAAACAGAAAGTAAAAAGGGCTGCAGACGTTAACTCACTGAAGGCTCTGGGTTCTAGCCTCAGTAACGAAACAAAAAACAAACAAAAACCTGTACATATTTCTGCTTTAAATTCTCCAGGAACATTTTCAACACGGTACATTCTCCCTTCTCAACTTTTAGACACCCTTTCTTCCCCTTAGCAAGTGCTTACTAAGGGCCCATTGTTTATGGGGCTCTGTGACAGCCTTCGCTGTCTTAAACACTGATGAATCCTCCCACTCTGACTAAGCTCACAGACCTCACAGACTGGACAACCAGAAGCCTGGTGTCACTGCACCACCTGGAGGCGAGATCAGGCTCAAAACAAACACGACTTGTGAAAGGCTTACATTCAAGTAATAATTTTTAAACATTAGGTTTCAATCTTCCCAGAAAAGCACATTTACTCTTTGACAATTCCACCTAAATGTTGTGTGAACCCTGATGACCACGTAATTGTGTTTTCCCCAATTTGTAGAGTGGTACACACTCAGGAAAGGGTGAATTTTACTGTATATGAATTATCTCAATACATTTGACTTAGGAAAGGTCCTCCCCTATGTTTTCTTAGATTTATTCCTAGAAACTTAAAATAATTTCAAATATGCACCCCCAAAAAGCAGTCTTATGTATAATTTGTCCAATTCTGGAAGAATATGTTAAGGTATTCTTTCCTTAAAATATCATTTTAAAAAATGTATGCCAATATTTAAAAAGTCTAATTCAGGACTGGGGATTTAGCTCAGTGGCACTGTGCCTGCCTCACAAGTGCAAGGTCCTGAGTTCAGTTTCCGTTACTGCAAAAAAAAAAAAACAAAAAAAAAAAAAAAACAAAACAAAACCACAAGATAATGTATTTCTCTGGACAAATATCCTTGGACCCAAGAAGTTCACAGGAGACCTAAAGGCAGCCACGCTTAAAGCTCCTGGGAACATGTCCTTCACTTACCAAAGCAGTCATTTACCCAAAGAAAGGGACACTTAGGCCGAAAGTGTCCTCTAAGTAAAGACCAAAACCATAGTCTACTGCTTAGGTCCACCTCTCACCCTCCCCACTACTCAGAAGGGACTCGCATGAGTTCCCACCAGGCACCCGGAACAACAAAGACGACAGCACAGGCATCACGAGTGAGCGAGACGGGATGGGATGTGTGACATGGAGCTGCCTGCTACTAGCTGCACGACCTTGAGCAAGCCACGCAACTCCTCAGCCTCGGTTTCTTACTCTGTAAACAGGTGTGGTGCTCCCTACTCATAGAGCTGTGAGGATAAAAGATGGCATGTATAAGTAGCTGGGAAACGACAGCCACTATGACCACTGACAGCGTGTTACACTGGCTAGTGCAGTATGCATCCGTTCGGTAGTAAAACCACCCGCTCAGCTATCAGACCGAAAGGCACAGAGAGAGACAGCCCTCCGTGGCAGCTGCATCCCAACTGGCAAGCTGGGTGCCAGAGTTCCAGCTCGCAGGAAGTTCCTGGCACCATCTCAGCAGAGCTTTGCATAAGCCAACAGCCTGGCTAGCTTGCACTGTGTCCCCAAGGGAGGCCGGGTTCTCCAAGGGGAAAGTGCCTCTCCCTCCCCTCACTACCAGCTCAGGCAGCTCTGGGACTGGCACCACCAATGTGGACCTATGCTGATCAGGACCCTCTCCTGTGACGGCTACCATCGCCCTCCTTTATGCATTACGTAGACAGTACATCTTTGTGCAACACTGAAGACTTTTCATTTCCATGATCACATTTCATCTTCACATTAACCTTACAAAAATCTGAGGGTGGACAGTGAGGCAGTGACAGGAACTTGGGACCACCCTGTCACTCTGCATCCCCCAAGACAGAGGCAGGGAAAGCAGCCCCACTCCACCAAGAGGAGCACAGCAGGGCCGGACACCGACACAGTGGGGGCAGAGCAGCAGGAAGGGGTAGGCAGAACAGGCTTTGTGGGTCTCAGGAAGACACAGGCTGGCCCCAAAAGCCTCAGAGTTCCAGTCACCTCTGCTGGGGCCTCCAGGAAACCCCACTCAGCTGTCACACACCTTCTCAAAGCGTGAAGACCCAGCATGACAGGCCCCATGCTCGACTCTCTCTCCACCGCCCACCTGTCCCACCAGAGGTTTCTAGGCTAACATAACCTTCACACGGTGCCGTGCAGAATGGGGTGGAGTGAGTCCGGTCTTCCATCTATCTCAGTACTCAAACCCTAAACCCTTCTTTTTACCAAGTGTTGTGATGAGCAGGATGTTGTCCCATTTTAGACACAAAATGAAATCTTTTCTTTTTGGTGGTGCTGGAGACCCAATCCAAGGCCTTATGCTAAGGCAAGTGCTCTACCAGTGAGCAAGGTTCCCAGCCCCAAAGAAATCTTTTAGCTGGCCGACTATAAAGAAAAGCAACACTATTTCCATTCTCACTACAATTATGCAAATGCTTAGTGTGCTGGACCAATCTTCTGGCTCTCCAAGGCCACCGCAGCACCTGTAGGCAGCAGACCTCCTCAGGCCCAGGCCCGCACCCGCAGCCCTGTGCAGAGGCTTCAGGCTTCTGGCTGCCTTGATCTTTTTTACAAGACTTTTTCATAGCACTAAGCTTCTTAACTCATTCTACCCATTACTAAAGAAAGTCTGTTTTCCTGAAGCAATTCTTTAGTCTTCTTCCTTCGAGCTACCACTGAGCCACGCTCACCACTCCCTGAGGAAATTCTCACGGCAGCTTCACTCAGGCTTTTCCACTCAAGTCCTCCTCCTGACACTCATTCTCGTTTTGCTGTGCTGCACCCTCAACAATGTACCCAGCCAGGTGTTGTGACACACACCTGTAATCCCAGCTACTTGGGAGGCTGAGGCGGGAGAATAAAGTACACGAGGCCAGTCTGGGCAGTATAGCAAAGTTCTATGTCTAAACAACAAAACAAAACACACACACACACACACACACACACACACACACACACACACACACACACACACGTGTATATATGCTGGGGATGTAACTCAGTGGTAGAGCACTTGCCTAGCATATGCAAGGCCTTGTGTTCAATCCCTAGTGCCACAAAATAACATTTTAATTGTTATTAACAGGACCTGGATATGTAGCCCAGGCTGGGCGCCAGCTCTGGATAACATCCTGCCTCAGCCTCCCCTGTGCTGGGATTACAGGGTGCACCATCAAACCCGGCTCCTGCAGAGAAGGTAATGAGAGAGTCCTAAGGCACCCACAGGAGCTGACCTTTTTGTCAGAGGACCAGGGCGGGTGCAGCAAGTGCCTATCAGCTGTCTGGGTTCTCAGGGAATGTGAGAAACGTCAAGCATTACCAACAACTAAGAATTTGTACCACTCACTGACCTGGGTCATCACAGCCTTTCTTTGCCTCCCCGCCACCCATGAAATACTTCACAACGCACAAGCAAGGTAGATTTTACTCCTCCATGTCTCCTACCCCCAGTGGCCTCCTACTCTTGCTGCTCCCTGTGACTATGCATACCAGTTTCTCCGTGATTATATGCTGACCTCCCTAAGGTTTTCTAGCACTTTCACACTAAGATCTAAAACCAAATACTGCCTACCCTGAACTCTAACCAGAACCTTTTTTTTTTTCTTGAGATGGTCTCAATTTGTAATTCAGGCTGTCCTGGAATTCACAGCAATCCTCCTGGCCAGCTTCTCAAGTGCTGGGATTACAGGTGGGCACCACCAGGCTTGCCCTGAACCTTCTAACTTTTCTGGTTGCTCAAGGAGTGAAAATGTCAATTTTAATTCTTCTCTTTTTTTCTTTCCAGCCCATCCCCTCATACAGTTAACATGCTCCTAAATTGCTGTCTCCTATAATCTCTACACATTTATTCCCTTATTGTCCGACTGCCGCAATTCTAGTTCTTGTCTTGGCTGTTCCTACACCAATCCAGCCTAAAACAAAGTGAGTCCCTCTCAGTAATGATGGTGTTGTTACTCAACCTCCTTCTCCTCACGCACATAAATGCTCTAACACTGAGTCTGAGTTACAACATTAATCCCTTTCACTCTTGTAAGACAATGTCTTGCTAAATGGCTCTGACTGGCTTTGAATTTGTGATCCTCCTGCCTCAGACTCCTCCCAAGTAGCTCCTACCATGCCTGGCCCAACTATCTCGTTGCCTACTAAAAATATGACAATGTACTTTGGGCTAGCATTCATGAACTTCTAAGACCTGCTTCCATTCTAAACTTCAAGTATTTTCCTAACACACCCTAGTTCCAGGCAAGACTGTGCAGTAAGAATGAGCTCTCCACCGTGCTGGGCTAGGATAGGATGCGGGCCCACTGTAGAACCCTCTTCTCATCTCTACCCCTTCAAACTTTGACTCCTCTCTGTCCACATATCCTTACTAAATTCTACATTCTGAGCACGTCTGAGCTAACGTTTAAGAAAACACACCAGCCGGGGATTTAGCTCAGCAGTTCCGCCGCCTGCCTTGCAAGCGAGGACCCGAGTTCAATCCCCAGTACCAAACTGAAAAAAAAAAGGAAAACACAACAATACTAAAAACATCTGCACCACACCCAGCTCAATATTCACCTAAACTACAAGCTCCCTGCTAAGTTTGTATCTTACAGATTAAACATTTATCTGGAGTGTTTTGGGGGAGGGGTACTTAATAACTTAATATTGGATCAACATAATTCTTTGCTAATTTTTCTTTGGTACAGGGATCATGAGGCAGGCGCAGTGCCACTGAGCTAAATCTTCAGCTCATCCACTAATTGTCTTTGAAATATGAATGTCGATAAAAGCCAGGACAGACATATAGTGTCATTAACAAAAGCAGAGCCTTCTGGTCATTAAGACATCACATATCAGAAATACACTAATGTTGCTGGGCATGGTGGTGCACGCCTGAAATCCCAGCACTTGAGAGGCTGAGGCAGGAGGATTGCTGTGAGTTCGAGACCAGCCTGGGCTACATAGTGATTCCAGGTCAGTCTCCACTACATAGTGAGACCCTATCTCAAAGAACCAAAAAAAGAAATACACTAATGTAGCCCAGCATGGTGGTGGGCCTATAATCCCAGCACCAGTGGGAGCCTATCTCAAAAAAATAAATAATGTATCTATTCCCCTTAGCTACAGTTTCACTGGAGAGAAGGGGATAAGAGTGCTTTAAACTGGGCATGGTGGCACACGCCTATAATCTCAGTACTGGGGAGGCTGACTGCAGTAGGATCCCTGTGAGTTTAAGACCAGCCTGTGCTACATAGTGAGTTCCAGGTCAGTCTCAACTACGTAGTGAGACCCTGTCTCAAAAAAACAAAAAAACAGAGTGCTTTAAAACAAAAGACAACTTGGAAACTGAGGTTCTCTTTCAGAGGGAGAGGAAACCAAGCTGCTCTAGTTCTTTCCTAACTGTTCTGCTTCTCAAGAGACTGAAAAGGCGACCCCCTCACATAGGCACAGGACCCCTGCACTCATTTCCTAGGCTCTTCCAATCTCATTTTCAGAAGAACGGGACTTTTTGTTCAAGTTTATTTCATGAAATCCATTTTATTTAAAATTATACATCTTTGTGAGTTTTTTTTCTTTCTGTTCTTTTAATAAATGCCAAACAGTACTGTAAAGAAAATTGGACAAAAAAATAGCCAAAGGCTCCTGTAGGAGCCCAGCCTATTCTAGGCAAAACACCCATCCTGGATTCAGATCTTCCTCACCAGGAAGTCACAGGGCCCTGGCCATAATCAGCCTTCTCCCAGTCTTGCCAGCTTCAATCAACCCAGCAGCAGGAGTTTAACCAAGACCCCCACTCCCAGGGCCAGCTGGGCAATTGAGGGTGGACCCCATCCCCTGCCAGCCCAGGTCAGCCAACACTCCCAAACTTAAAAGGCAAACAGAGGGCCGTGGATTTAGTTCAGCGGTTCGGTGGCCTGCTTCGCAAGCGCAAGGACCCGAGTTCGATCCCGGGTACAAAAAAACAAAACAACAAAACAAACAAATAAACAAACAAAAAAAACAGGCAGAGAGGCCTGAGGCGTACAGACCTGCATCTCAAAATAAACTGTGCAATTTTATTTACTTACAAGCAATGGCAGCTATGGAATTAAGGGAATGCCTCAACTTACTGTCTTGCAAGGGTCTAAAATGCAGTCACTTTAATTAATAACACAGTTGTAAGAATAAAACTGCTTTTGTTTTCACAAGCTTCCCTAGACAAAGAAGACAAACTTCCATTGTGACTTGGGCACAAGAAAATACAGCTGTCAAGTCTCCAGCACTTTTTATAATGAAAAGAAAGCAAAAGTCCTTTAACTTACCTAGCAAATTCTGCCAGTTGTTTAGGGTCTGAGAGGTCAATGCCAGGTATTCCTCCGGGAGGGAGTTTCTTTCCTGTCATATATTCTGAATAGTCAGGAGGCGAGTTCTCTCCAATGATCTGTTCTTCAACCACCGTCTCATGGTCAATATCTTTTTTTTCATCTGCAAAACATCATGAGATTTTCTTAGCTAGGCAAATACATTTTAAAAAGCATACAAACTGTTCTCATGACATAGGGTCTCGCTATGAAGCCCAGACTCGCCTATAACTTCAAGTTATCTACTGCCTCAGCCTCCCAAGTACTGGGATTACAGCCTAAGCCACCTCATTGGCCTCACTAGCACTTAAGAAAATCATTTATAGTCACCACTCAATTTCTTACCCATGCACTCTCTGTCCTCAATCTTTTACACTCCCGTTTGTGCCTGCTGGTCACCACAACCTTCACTCTCAAATCCCATATGGGTGTCAGTGTTCCCCTCACCCTCTCTGGACAGCTACACTCTTCTCCGGAGCTTTCTGGGTCTACCCTGCTGCTCCCTCCAACTGGCTTATTTTCAGGTTCCATGCTTTTCCTCCTACTTCTGAGTTCTGCATTTTCACACCACACACTTCCTGTAAACTACCAATTTGATGATGCCAACTGAAATCCGGTCTCCAACCCTGCACCTCTCCAGCTCCCATATTCCCCAGTCCTCCCTTCAATGTACCTCAGTCTGCCCACCACCCACTACCTCCACTCTTGCAGTTCCAATGAGTCAAGTGTGATCCAGGCTATGTGATCTGTCTCTACCTTTTCTGCCTGTAAGACGCAGGACAGGCAGACTAGTCTACTTCGATCCTAACTATTCCCTGAGCCTCATCCTGAGCTTTGCACAAGGTAGACATGGTCCAAGAATGTGGGTCTCTACTTGCAGGCCTTACAAGCATCTCAGGTCCAAACAGGTTAAAGCACTGTATCCCAGATGTCCAACCTTCTTGGTGCCTCCCTTCCCCTCCTGGGCAAGCAAGCCCTTCAGCCCTGTGCCATGGTCCTGTTTTAACATGTCCAGCCCAGCTTTCTACCTGTGCATCATACAGGCCCTCCACTTTCCACCTGCATGCCTTTCTCACGTGCCTGGTGGGAGGTACTCGCTCAGCAGTTCCCCAACTTCGCTCTCATTTCCCACCTAAATGCAGCCTCCTCTTTAGAATCTAGCTCAAACCAGACACCATGGCCTCAGATTCTGACTTTTCCTGTGAACTCCTAGATTATTTCCCAATAATCAGACCGACAGATTCTAAATTATTCTGCTTTAAAATTCTGTTGACTTTGCCCCTTAAACTAAAGCAGAAGTGTCCAGGGACCAAACACAGGCTACTACTTTGATGCCTAAAGCAGAAAATGGGGCTTCGTAATTTTCAGTACTGAAATTTCCTGCCTCTACACCAAAATTGTGTTTTGCAAAGGGCAGGAACATAAGATCCTTCAAAAGTGTTTATTGGGCTGCTCAACTCTTACCTCGGATTACAAACAAAAAACAGCTTCAAACCAAAATGAAAACAAACAAACAAACAAACAAACAAAACCTACCATCGATGTCCTACCAAAAACTGCATACAGTTCTCCGGGAAGCTAAAATATGCAAAGACCGGTTCTCCTTGGATGTAAGTGATCATTATCAAGGTCCAAGAATTCCAGTAATAAAAAGCATACAATACAACAATGTAGCGCCAGGTATTTAGCTCAGTGGTTCTGCTGCCTGTCTTGCAAGCGCAAGGACCCGAGTTCCATCCCTAGTAAGGGTGGGGAGCTTCTATAACAATGTAAATACTTTAGGGCAGGGATTTAGCTCAGTGGCACCAGCACCTGCCTCACAAGTGCAAGGTCCTGAGTTTGATTCCTGGTACCAAAAACAAAAACCTTTTAACAGCTTCTCTACTTCCACTGTTCTTTATTTTAGAAAAAAATGAATAATTACAAGAAATCAGGGACTAGCAGTTCATGTTTTACTAAAGGTTTATGCATGAGAGCTAGCCTAATGACTGTATGTATCGCCTTATGAAGTAGGTGAATTTTCAGCTTCATTTTATTTTTTTTATTTTTATTTTTGGTACTGGGGATTGAACTCGGGTCCTTGCGCTTATAAGGCAAGCCACCGAACCGCTGAGCTAAATCCCCGGCCCTCAGCTTCATTTTACAGAGAAGAAAGCTGACGGACAGAAAGGTTAAGTAACCTGCTAGGGTTAACTGCTCCGCTAGCAAAGGGCAGATGGAATCCGAATCCCTATGAGCCTAATGGTGGCCGCCTCTTGTCAGGAACTAGAAAGAGCACTAGGTATACTAGGGACAAGATTACCTACCGTCCGTCTAAGGATGGGTAAAGGTGTGTAGGCATCAACTCGCTGGATCACTGCCTGGACACAAAGTGCCTGGGAACCACCAGGACAAAGGTGGGCTCCACAGTCACCTCGCTCTCACTTCGTTTCCTTCCACAAGCCAACCCGCCCCACGTGCCACTTTCACCTTTCAAGTGGTACCGACCCATGCTGGTGGGTAGAAAAGCTATTTTCTTCACTGACAACTTGTATTTCTCATTGATTGAACCCAGGGCCTCTGCACTACATCCCTTTTTATTTATTTATTTTTAATTCTGAGGCATGGTCCAGGGATTTAGCTCAGTCGTGCTGCTGTCTGCCTTGCAAGCTCAAGGTCCTAAATTCAATCCCTGGTGCCCACCCCCAAAATTATGAGGCAGGATTTTGCAACGTCACTACACAGCCCGGACTAGATTCAAACTTCCAATCCTCCTGCCTCAGCCTCCAGAGTGCTAGGGTTACAGGAATGTGCCACCACTCTCTCAGTCAGGCAACCCATATTTCTGAAACAAGAAAGACCACAAAGTAGAGAGCCACAACTACTTACAGCAAGCTCCTGATAAAGGTGTTTAGGGTTCTAGCTGCACTACAAACAATACCGCAGACTGGGAGGCTCAGGCCACAGTGATGTCTCACAGTTAGGAAGTGGAGAGTCCAAGACCTAAATGCCAGCATGGTTTCTTTGCTGTGGAGGACCCACTCTGGCTCTCCATCCCACAAAACAGAGTGTGAGGTGCTGGGCTAGATTAATCTAGTGCTAGCTCCACACTTATCAAACAAAGGCAGGAACAAGACAGTCTCTGACCTCCCAGGCTCAGTTCTTGTTACAACACTCAAGAAAATCAAGAACCCAGGGGACTCAGAAGGCAGCGGCTAGGGACTGGGGACGCTCAGGGGTAGCATGCTTTCCTAGCATGAGTATAGGCCCTAGGTTCGAGTCCCCATACTTCAAGCAAGCAAGTGCACAAAGTCAATGAGGCAGTCCTAGAGTACCTCTATCGGGGGCAGGTGAGCAGAGCCAACAGTATGAATCTGGCCAAATGCCCTTTCCCCACGACCCATGGTTTCCTTCTCTCAGCCTCTTCTAACCTCTCCTTTCTACCTGGATCAATCTGCCTATTCTAAGGTCCTCCTATACATGCTCATGGAGCATTCAACTTTCATGTCATTTATTTCACTAAGCAGTTTTCCTTCCACTGTAACAAATAAAACATTTCATTTATTTTCATAAACAACATTCTGGTTTCTACAAAATCAACAAAAATCAACCAAAGGGGAGAAAGATCTCTACAATACAAATTAAAGAACAATGAAGAAACTGGAGACACTAAGATGGAGAAGACCTCCCATACTCATAGATAGCCGAATTTACTGTTAAAATGGTCATTTTATCAAACACAACCCATAGGTTCAGTACAGTCTCATCAAAATCCCAATGACATTCTTCACAGAACTAAAATTCACATGGAAACACATGCAACCCAGAAGAGCCATCCTAAACAAAAAGAGTAAGACTACAGGCACTATTAACACCTAATTTCAAATTATGCCACAAAGCCACAGTAACAAAAACAGTATGGTACTGGCACAAAGGAGCCAAAAACACAGGTAGAGGAAAGACAGCCTCTTTAACACACTGTGGAGAAAAAACTGGACACCCATATGTAGAGACTGAAACCAGATCCCACCTCTCATTCTGTATAAATATCAACTCAAAATGTATCAAAAATGCTTAAGATCTGAGACTTTGAAAATGACAAAAGAAAACATGGGACACACTCAAAGCCATAGGCACAGGGGCTGAGGATTTAGCTCAGTGGTGCCACGCCTGCCTCTCAAGCACCAATGTCCCAAGTTTGATCCCCAGTACAGAGGGAAGAAGAAAAAAAAAAAGGCAGCCACAGACTTCCTGAACAACACTCCAACAGCATAGGAGGTAACAGCTAGAATCAGTCACAGGGCTACATCAAAATAAAAAGTTCCTGCACAGCCATGGGAAAGCACCAACAGAGGAAAGAGAAAGCCTACAGAATAGGTGAAAATCTTTGCCAACTACTTTGTTTTACGGGGGGGGGGGTCCCCCCCTCACTATGTAGTTCAGGTTGGCTTCAAACTCACTGTGATCCTCCTGCCTCAGCATGGCGGCCAGCTACTCTTCTGACAGCCTAATATCTAGAATACATAAAGACCTCATAAACACCAAAAAAAATCAAGTAAGTGGGCAAGTGAATTGCATAGACACTTCTCAAAAAAGTACAAGTGGCCAATTAGTATTTTCTTTTATTCAGTTTATTGGTACATTTTAGGTATACAGTACAATTATATCATCATTGGGATCTTGTACCTTTACATGACAGGCCAATTAGTATTTTCTAATAATATAGAACAACTTTAGCCATCAGGGAAATTCAAAACAAAACTGCACTGAGATTCTATCTTACCCAGCAAGAAAAAAAAAAAAAAAAATGCTGCTGAGGATGAGGGAGAGATGACCTAGGGAAACCAGTACAGAGGATTCTCAAAAACTAAAGACAAGGGTCGGAGATGTAGTGCAGTGGCACTGTGCCTGTCTCATAGGAAGGACTTCAGCGAAACGTCCTGAGTTTGATCCCCAGTAGTGCAAAACAAACAAACAAACAAAAACTAAAGACAGGCTTGGGCATGGTGGCCGCATACCTGTAATCCCAGCATTGGAGAGGCTGAGGCAGGAAGATCACCAAATTCAAGGCCAGTCTGGGCTACATAGTTCAGGATCAGCCTACACTATAGAGGCCCTCTCTCAAAAAACAAAAGACGTTTTTGAGAAGCAATTTAAGAATTTATGAAGCAATTTAAGGATTCTTACAAGATTGTGGTTGGCGCACGCCTGTAATCCCAGCACTCGGGAGGCTGAGGCAGGAGGATCGCTGTGAGTTTGAGACCAACCTGGGCTACACAGTGAAGGCGCACGCCTAATCCCAGCACTCGGGAGGCTGAGGCAGGAGGATCGCTGTGAGTTTGAGACCAACCTGGGCTACACAGTGAGTTC